TTTTGAGATGTAGTTTTAACTGCCATGCAAATTGGCTTCGAGCTTCCCATCCTGCTCCCTTAACTGGCATCACAGGCCAGCCTTTTGTACTATTTGCTGAAGTAAAGAGAGGACCCCATGGTCTAAGGCGCCAGCCAAACTCAAGCACAGCTTCCTTGAAAGAGAGGACACCAAGGTAGGGACTGATTCCTGGCAGGAGCCTAGGTACCAGTTGCCCTTTCTCTTTGAATCCACCTTTGCTTTTGATGATGGGGAGTAACTCAGAATGCCTCTCTTCTGGTGGGGTCCTGGCACACAGGCATAGCTTGGTAGCACAGTTTGGTTCTGCAGGGGAATTAAGATGCACAGAGCAAAAGAGGCCTTAGAGGTAGAGGAGCTGATAGGATAGACAGCCACATAGCAAGACCTGCAGCAGATCAGTAGGCCACAGGAAGATCCCAATACCAGACTCATGGCAGTCATGTTGATTACCTTGGCTCCTCCATTTTCACACGTATGGCAGGGAGGGGAAGGAGCCTGGTGCTTGGGACATGGCTCATGTATTGTGGAACAAGAGAGGTGAGTCAGAGAGTCAGGCTCTGAGTGTCCCTCCTTGGGGTTTGGCCATATAGCACTGGGATTTTGAGATCTACCATGGTATTGGTCTGGTTCATGAGATTTGAAGGAGGAGGATTAGGAGACTCAGTGCAGGGAATGGGGTCTGCACCCTAAACGTGAGCACTGCACATGTGGGTCTCAGTTCTCTGTATGTGTGTCCCTGTGTGCCTGCAAATCTGTCCCTCCATCCTTTGCCTCCTCCTCTTCCCTGTTTGTGTGATTCTTTCATTGTTTGTTATTTTATCTTCCAGACAGTGTCTCACTCTGTAGCCTACTCTGGACTCAAGCTTATGATGATCCTCCTGCCATAGCCCTCTGATCCCTAGGGATCTTTAGGCATAAGCCACCGTATCCAACTCCCTGTCCCTTATTGCCTCCTCATTTCTTTGTCTCTGTGTCTTTGGAGTGTCTCAGTCTCTGAAAGTATGTGTGTAGCGCTGCTCAGGAAGGCAGTTTGACTTGTCACTCACTAGGATTTTTTTAACATGGGATTCCAGGAGCAGCTATGCATAAAGGCTAAACTCTTCCCTCATTTTCTCTCTAGATATCTGTTTCCATGCTCTGGTAAGGTGAAACAGGAGAGGGAGGCCTAGATCTGGGTCCAAATCTCACCTCCAAGCCAGGAGGCATGGTGGTGCAGTTCAGGATATATACTGCAAGTGTGAGGAGTGCAAATCGAGTTCATGGTTGGCCAGGGCAATTTAGTGAAACCATGCCTTAAAGAAAACTATACAAATCATTAAAGTGGTAGAGTGCTTGTTGGACATGTGTGGTAGGTTCCATTCCCAATCATCTCCCTGTGGGACCCCAAAGAAGCCCTGTCTTTATAGAGTCTGTTCTATAGAATGATGTCACCCCTTATCTGTTGTCGTGCAGCCATAGGAAGACACATATGGGATTGCCATGAAAAGGCCAAAAGCTGCCTTAGTACACTCAAACCTTCCATTTTGGGACCCTGAAACCAGAAAGATCCTATCTATATGAAGCTTTTCCTACTATTATGAACAGAAAGCTAAGGCTAGGGGGTGTCTATCCTGCCTGACTCCCTGAGGTAGTGACTTGGCCTTCATAGGACAGTGAGTGTACTAGATTCAGTGGGGCCTCAGATGGCTGGGAGAGGTGGGTGCTGATGTTCTTTGGTCTCTGAGGATGGATGAGGTACTAACGGTCCTGAGAGAAGAGGACCTGTAGGAGGAAGACAAGGTCTGAGAGAGCAAGTGAGAGCCTGAGGGAGGAGGAGAGGCCCTGTGAGAAGAGGTCTCTGAAGGGAATTTCTCAGACTCCTTCAGGCAGCAATGCCCCATTTGCTGTTGAGGGCAGGAGCATCTGTTGAGAACCCACTTCCGAGAGGTTAGAGGGCAGTGTCTACGGACCTGGCATGACCTAAATGTAAAGAAAAAAAGGGAAGGCAGGAGCAAACATGTTCTGCATCTGTCTCTTTCTTGACCGGTCTGCTGCTCATGAAAATCCCAGCTCCACAGCAGCCTCTCCTGCAGTATCAGGAATGAAGGATATAGAATTTGGATGGCCAACTCTTTTGCCTCACCTCCTCCTTGTGGGTAATCTGTTTCACTGAGCCTTCCAGTTGTGTGGGAAGCAAGTTTGAAGAGTCAGAACCATGGCTAGTACTTCCACCACCCTCTGTCTCTGGCAACAAATTCCTAAAATGTCACTTCCCTTTAAGTTTTATGAAATATCAACATCTCTTTTTGCTTGTGTGAATGAATTTATGTGTATCACATACATGTGGTAGTCAGAAAAGGCCTTCATATTCCATGGAACTGTAGTTACAGACAGTTCGGGGCTACTGTATAGATGCTGGGAACTGTCTAAACCCATCAACATCATTTTCTACAGTATGCTTTGTTCCTTGTCATATGCGATTTATGAAAAACAGACATTGGTGCAGTGAATATTTGAAGAATTTCATTCTGTTCATGAATGTGTCACATGAGAGGAAAGCAGAGAAGATTCACTTGAGCTCATGTAAATGATCTCATGTTTCTCTCCTACGTACCCTAGGGACAGAAACCTTATCTGATGACATTGTGTTGAGCTCATCATCCCTAGCAAACTTTATAGTGTGATGCCCCTTCATCCCAACATCTGTACTTCCTGGTCTCAAGTGTCCACAGAAGCTGTATTTCTGATCTCTTGGAATTCTATTGAATACTAGACCATGGGCTCTCTTCCAGGGTGCAGGCTCATGTGTACTTTGGATCTTCTTAGAACAAATGGATGCTTCATATGTTGGAGGAATGTCCTGCCATGTCTTCATCTAAGAGACACTTAGCTATTAGCTTTTTTGGCAGTGAACACGGTTGTGAAACCTCGGTGATTATTGGATCATGTGGAAAATCTGTGTTTAAGGTTTTTTGCAGAGCTTGATTGCTACTTTGTAAAAGGACTGTCCTAATTTTACACATCAATAGAAGAGCACTGAGTTTCTTTTTTTTGCCATGTCCATTGTAATCTGACCTTTACACCCTGTCATTGCTTTGACGTGATGATTCTCACAGCTTTCCTGGGGCTGTAAGAAGTATGCTATCTGCTACATCCTATCCCTGGGGCAAAATCGTTATCATTCAGGCTGTCCAATAGCTTCTTAAAGAATGGATGACTTCTGGGACTAGACTGCAATCTGTCTTGTCATCCTTTTCTTCATTATTTCTGGGTTTTAGACAGTTGTTGTTCTGGACCCTAAAGAGATTTGGATGTGCCAGATTGCTTTGTTCCCAGACTTGGGGGTTTAGTGTATATTCCCACAAACAGACCAAGTTGAAAGCTGAGGCATTCTGTGAGTGGAAGACTACTACACTGAATAGCTGGAGGACATGGAGATGTGTGTGAGCATTGGATGGGCTCAGTAGTCTAAGCTCCCATCGAGGCTATCGGGGGTACTGATTTTTTCGTTATCCTTGAGGAGTAAATAAAAGCTCAGCTATCAATAATAGCAATTAGCAGACCATAGTGGAGAGCCCTTCCAGGGAGAAATGTAGCCTTGGAGTTTTAACCCGTTTTTTCTCTTGGTCCTAGGTGATGAGGCTAGTGGGAATATTTGTATTATCATATGAAACTATGATTTTTCTCACTTTTCTAGAGAGGTGTGTGAGTCCATGTATTTACATGTATGATCATTATCTGCCTACCGTCTGGATGACCTCAGGAGCATAGAATCCTTTTCCTTTTGTATAGTATGATACAAGTTGAGTTCTTGCTCATGTGTGTGTCTAATCATTTTGAGCTCATTGATGTGATTGTTTCTCAGTTTCCCAATATATAGAGCAACTCACTTATGCTTTGGAGAGAGAAATGGTATATATGTTTTCCACTTATGATCCAGTTTTGCGTGAGAAACTTTGTATGAACTCATATATATAGGTTCATATAAAATAGGAATGCAAACCATACATGTGTTTAATAAATTTTTACATTTATTTTAATTTCTTACAATTTTATTGTTTGCAAAAGACGAAATGAACTTTGCATACAAGTAAAATACATGTGCTTGTTTTTGTAACACAACAGAAGTCAAATATGTGCTAATTTCATGCCTTAAGAATGAGGGATGAAGTTGGGAAAAAAATGCTTGAAATCTTTAATTTCCATGATTAAGTCATTGTTTCAATAAGAGTGGAAAAGTGTATGCAAAGTAAAAGCCATTCAGTATAAAACATCATTTCAAGCCACGTTCCTTGAAATTGTATAATGTGATGGTATGAACAGTGCCTAGTGTACATGGTGTGTGTTCACAGCAAAGGCTACAGAGCTGTCACTTGTTGCCACATGACTGAATATTATCCACAGAGTGCTGTCCAAAACATTGGATTCATTATGTCTCTCTGAGTTAAACTTTGGTTGTGGCATATTTAGAAACCCTCTCTGTTGCAAAGCTAATTTTTTTGACCCTATGTTCATGTATATGACCCCCAAATGGGGTCATCTTCTTGCTTTTAAGAGTAAGATCTATTCTACTGTAGGAAGAGGTACTTGAGTTCATGTCCCTGTATCTTCTGCACTGAAGCACATTGCCACACTACCAGCCCCAGCATCTGCCTTTTCATTGTGCTGTGCATGCCTTATAGATTTAATCTTGCTTTTACATGATTGCGTTTATAGAATCCACTCTCTTCCTCTTAATGGGAACCTTACAAGTACATACTCAGATACAATTTTGTTTCTATTATAATTCCATGGAGAGCTCTTTAATTATAATTTCTTCAATCACTACTTTAACACAGAGCTAAGATATATGTGTTGATCTTAATATGTCCCACGATATAGAATACAAGTCAAGCCTCAGCTTCTATGTGACACTGGCAAGGCACAAACAACTAGAGAAATGGATTCTGTTTCCAGTTCTGAGGCCTTGGAATGACAAGAGGTGTGTCATTACAGGGGTTGGTGTCATTTGAGGACGTGGCTGTGGACTTCACATGGCAGGAGTGGCAGGAGCTGGATGCTGCTCAGAGGACCCTCTACAGGGATGTGATGCTGGAGAACTACAGTAGCCTGGTGTCCTTGGGTGAGTTGGACTCCCAGGCAGCTAGCTTTTAATACTAAGTTGATAGACTTTAGCATGTAGGCCACATGAGCGCGCGCGCGCGCGCGCGCGCACGGACACACACACACACACACACACACACACACACACACACACACACACACACACACACACGTATACATAGTATTTTAGCTTTTTGACTTTGTGTTCTCTGAGAAGTTTTTTTTGTTTAGTTTCTAGTTTTTTCTTTTGATGTCCTTTTAAGTGTTTTTCTCTCTGTAGCTTCATTTACCATTCATAGCATGACTCAAATGGAGCTGTTATGTTTCATCAGTGACATGGACTTTCTGCTTGGGAACAGTTTGTCTTTTTCCATTTACAGGGCACTGTGTGACTAAACCTGAGTTGATCTTCAGGTTGGAACATGGATTTGGGCCATGGAGCATAGGAGAGACCTCCCTCTGGAATCTCCCAGGTCAGTGAATGTGAACTAGGGAAGGGAATTCAGCAAGGGCAACTGCTCATAGGATGTATTGGTCATGTTGAGCTGTCATTACCAACATTCAACAACTGGTTTTGCCTGTCAAGTATTTACTTTATGCAGTTTCTAAATGAGGATCTCTGTGTCAGTCCGTCTCCTTCTTTTTGTTGTTGAAGCTTGCTTTCCTAAAGTTGCAAAAAATATTCAGTCTTGTGTAGGTTTTTGCAGACATTTTTGTTTGTTATTTTGAGAGATGGGGTCTCACAGCCCAGACTCCCCTCAAACTTGTTGTGTAGGCAAGGCTGGGCTCAAACTCCTCATCCTTTTCCTTCCACCTCCCACTACCCGTATGTATCAGCACACCCAGCCTTACCTGTAGATTTGCCAGTTAGATACTTTGCCTAGATACTTATTCATCTGAATTCTCAATTGTCCTTCGTACCTTGTTTTACATTGAGGATTTATTTCAATGCTTGGTCTTGATCTGAAATTTTGATAGCAATAATTAGCATCCTAATGCATCTTTTGAAGGGCTTACATTCAGAGAGAGAAAAGTGAAACAGTGATGCAATAATGTACCACAGTGAGATAAGAGATACTAAGAATATTTACTCTGAGGAGGGGGAAAAAGGAGTTTGATTTCAGGAAAGGCATAAAGTAAGGCACTTATTGAAGAATTATTCATTTATTTTAGTTTAGTGTTGTGATTACTCTTTTTAAAAATTTTGAACTAGCAGCACTTGGGAAGCATAGGCATGCAGGCAGGCAGATCTCTTGAGTTTGAGGCCAGCCTTGTCTTTAGATCGAGTTCCAGGGAAATTTTGTCTTGAAGAAAAAATAAAAAATAAGAAAAATATTGAACTATATACATATGTATATGTAAATTGAAGACTCTGTGATTAGAATGAAGAAAGAAATTTGGAAATTGGTGGCCTAAAGAAAATCAATTGCAGAATATCTTTTTTTTTTTAATTAGGAAAGAACAAATCAGAATTTTAAGCATAGGGTGGGAGGTAAGACTTTTTCCAATGTACTTCATGGAGGCCCAGTGTCAGAATTACAAAGGAGAGAATGCTTTCCAAGGAAAGCAAGAGAGAAAGAGTACTTGAAATCAAGAAAGAGGTGACAGGACAGTATACACTAGAATAGAGAGCTATTTTCTTTCTTTTTTCGAAAAGTGGTAATAAACTGAAGGCTACAACTAGGTAATGACCATGTGCAAAGTGCCCTGTTGCCACAGACTAGTATTCTTTGTCATGGAAGAAACCTATGATACTGTACAGAGAAGTGATTGCTCTGACAGTGTATTGTAGTTGGAAGTTTCCATTTAGTCCCAAATAATCATACAAGAGGCTTTTATTAATTATAAACTGTTTGGCCAATGGCTCAGGCTTCTTATTGGCTAGCTCTCTCTTAATTATTAACCCATTTCTGTTAAATTATGTATTGCCACGAGATTGTGATTTACCCATAATCTGGCAGAGTATTATAGATTTGGGCATAATAAATTGGAAAACAAATGAATTGCTTTTATCCACATATAGAATGTTATTCCTGGGGGCCCATCCACTCTTGGGGCATAATAACTAGGATCAGTCAAAAACTCAGGAGGCTGGGGACAAACTGACAGTTTCTATGAAGTAGATGGGCACAAGAGGCAGCCATGGGAACTCACATATACAATACAGGCTCCTTAAGAAAGAAGCATTAAGTCTTAGGAATGGAGTCTTACCTTTCTCATGAGGAGTATGCCCATTCCTCATAGACAATGGCAGAGAATAAGATTAGTGGATCCAGAATCAGCCAGTTGGTTGGCCTCTAGACCATTTTTCCATCTGCATATGTTTACTGTACCTGGGGACTAAAAGATTGGAGCCCAGGGACAACAATTCACTGGACTTTCACATCTATCTTCTTAGCAGAATGTGATGTTTATTGGGCTCCAAAGGACATGAGCAGCCCAGAATCTCCTGGCCCCTGGTCTATAAGCTAACTGTGCAGAGACACCTCATTTATGGAGGTTTGCTTTCCATCAGTAAGTGTAGAAATACTGCCATTTCTGAAGCTTGAGCACAGCAATGACTCCTTTATGCAGACATATTGTTTTCATCATTGAATTCATGCTTGTCACCAACATAACCTTGTTGTGTCCTTAGCCAATATATAGATAGTACGAACAGGTAAGGTGAAAACAAATTTTTCAGTGGTTACCCAGCAATCCTAGCAACCTACTGATGAATTCCAGTAATAGTGGACATTACTATTACTATTACTTCTTCAGTGTTTTGTTTTTTTTTTTCCTATTTTTCATGCAGTTTTAGTATTGTTTTGTGTGCTGGTCAGGGTTACTATTGCTGTGATGAATTGCCATGACCAAAAACAAGTTTGTGAAGAAAGGGTTTATTTGACTTACACTTCAGCACTGTTGTTCATCACTGAAGGAAGTCAGGACAGGAAAACAAACAGGGTAGCTTCATGGAGGTAGGAACTGATGCAGAAACTATGGAGGGGTGCTGCTTACTGGCTTGCTCCTCATGGCTTGTTCAGCATTCTTTCTTACAGAACCCAGGATCATCAGGGGTGGCACTATCCCACAATGGGCTGGACCCTCTCCCATCAATCATTAAATAAGAAAATGCCCTATAACCAGATCTCGTGGTGTATTTTTGCATTTAAATTTCATTCCTTTCAGATGACTCTAGCTTATGTCAGGTTGACCTAAAACTAGCTAGCAAGTTTTAACTTCTTTTATCCTTTTGAAGTAACTTCTTTTATCCTTTTGAAGTATTTGATATTTGTATTTTTATTTCTCCTTGTTCCTTTTTATAGTTTTATTAACACTTTTTGTATGTTTGACTATCAGATTATGTTCTCTGCTTTTGTATCCTTTTCTACATTCCTAGAGCTGAAGAATCTATTGCACAATTTTATTTGAACGGAATAAACAATATATTTGATTTATGGATAGTGATGTTCTTACTACATCATTTTAGGTGTTCTTGAAGTGCCTGCTCCAGTTAAGAGTTGCCTGGAAAATGCAGAGAGTCCTGTGTGGCCGATAGGAAGCATCAGCAGGAATCTGTCAAACAGAGAGATGCTTGAAGTAGGTAAAATGCGAATGTGAACAAGATCTTTACAAGTTGAATCTGGACATAAGATGTAGAATTTTTTCCTAGGAACCTAACCTATGGTAGAATGTGTCCATATTGATCCTTGTCTGATGCTGACTAATGAAGAAGCTGATAGTATAACTGATAAACTCTGGCACCCTGAGCACCTTAGTCTCCCTGACAAGTTTGAAAGTTCATATTATGATACTCAATATAATTGACCAGGGACATACATCTACACAAAGACAGTTACAAATAATGTTTGATATTTAAGAAATCTCTTGTTTCATGGCATTGGAAATCTTTGTTCGCATACCACTTAATGTGCAAAACATATCTCATGAAAGAAAAATATTGCATGTAACAGGACTCAGAACAACCTGGTAAAGTATGGGTTGAAAGATGGATGAGCAGTTAAGAACATGAGCTGCTTTCACACAGGACACAAGTTAAGTTCCCAGAACACATGCCATGCAGCTCCTAACTACTTATCACTCCAGTTCCATGGGAATATGGCACCTTAGGTTTCTGTGCGCACCTGTACCTGAGGGCACATAGTCCTACACATATATGCATAATTAAAATCTTTTTTATCTTAATGACTAACTGTACACTAGGGAAAATATGGTGAATGTACTTTTTTTAAACTTTTAAGAATTTGTTAACCTCACAGAACATTAACTACATGTTAGAAGTAGCCCCACTGATATAAAACCTTGCCATATTCTTTTGTCTCAAGGCAGAAATGAAGGTTCAACTGGAACTCCACCAAGGTATAAAAGTCTATGAATGTAAACCGTGTATGAAAACGATTGACCTGACATCGCAGCCCAGCAAGCAGCAGGAATATTACTCAGGTGTGAAACCCTATGAATGGAAGGAGTGCCAGAAAGCTTTCTATTATAAGTCAGCACTCACTGAACATCAGAGAACTCGTACAAGGTTGAAGATCTATCAGTGTACAGAATGCAGGAAAGCTTTCCCCTCCAAATCAGAACTTGCCGTACATCATAGAATTCATACTGGTGAGAAGCCCCATGAATGTGAAGAATGCGGGAAAGCTTTCTATCGCAAGTCAACCCTTACTGTACATCAGAAAACTCACAGAGGTGAGAAACCTTATGAATGCAAGGAATGCTGGAAAGCTTTCTATTATAAGTCAACCCTCACCGAACATCAGCGAATTCATACAGGTGAGAAACCATATGTCTGTAAAGACTGTGGCAAAGCTTTCTTCTACAAGTCTAACTTGACTCGCCATCATAGAACCCATACAGGTGAGAAGCCTTATGAATGTGAAGAATGCAGGAAGGGTTTCTCCTCCAAGTCAGAACTCACATCACATCGTAGAACTCATACCGGTGAGAAGCCGTATCAGTGTGAAGAATGTGGTAAAGCTTTTTACTGCAAGTCCACCCTCCGTGTACATCAAAAAATTCATACAGGTGAAAAACCTTATGAGTGTAAGGAATGTCAGAAAGCTTTCTATTATAAGTCAACCCTCACCGAACATCAGAGAACTCACACCGGTGAGAAGCCCTATGAATGTAAAGACTGTGGCAAGGCTTTCTTCTACAAGTCCCAGTTAACTCGCCATCATAGGATTCATACAGGTGAGAAGCCTTATGAATGTGAAGAGTGCAGGAAAGCTTTCTCCTCCAAGTCAGAGCTCACTGCTCATCACAGGACTCATACTGGTGAGAAGCCCTATGAATGTAAAGAATGCGGCAAATGTTTCTGTCGCAAGTCACACTTAACTCTACATCAGAGAATCCATACAGGCGAGAAGCCCTATGAATGTAAAGATTGCAGAAAAGCCTTTTTCTGCAAGTCAGGACTTGCCCGACATCTGGGGACTCATACGCACGACACTAATACAAAGAATAGAGAAAAGCATTTTCCTGCAACTCACAGCTCAGCCAACATCCGAAATGTCACACAAGTGAGAAGTCCTGTGAGTATAAAGAATGAAGAAAAACTCGCTACTGTACCTCAGTCCTCACTCCATACCATGGACTTCTTACAGTTGAGAAGTTCTATAGATGTACACAGTGCGGGAAAACTTACCTTTGTAACTCATGCCTCATTCAATTTGAACGAACTCAGATGAGGCACACTAATAATTTAGAGAAGGCAAGAAAACTTTCAGTCAGCCAGGATCACTTGACATCAGAGAATGCATGTAGAATGATGACAGCAAAGACTCTGAAAAGTGCCACAAGGGAGACCTTTCTCAACATCAGAAAACCCATACTGCTCTGAGACATTGTGTCTGGAAGGAAACTATCTCAGTGTAAGCATCTCATACATGTGAAGAAGCTTATGAATTTAAAGATCAGAAGTTCTGAATGATGTCATATCTCAGTTGATGTGAGTGTACATGCCATGAAGAATCCTGAGAATGTTTAAAAATCCAACATTTTATAGTGTTGTACCAACCTTGAAAAACAAATGTTGAAGGGACCTTGTTAAAGAACATAGGAAAACTGGTAAGTCAGATCACATTCTGCATCAGGAAAGTCATATAGGTGAGAGACTATGTACAATAACATATTTATCATTTGTAGTAGTACTTGTTTATGTCCTATGTTCATTGAAACATAGCTATTCAAGACTAGAAATATCACAGCTTCTTCAGCTCTGGTGGGCCTAGAGTATTATAATAGCATGTATTGAAATGTGATGTAGTTCAGAAGTGGTGTTGAAGTATGTTGGATGTGCCTGTGACCACTACCTGGTAGGAGGCAGTATTTTGCAGGACTGTTAAAATCACTGATGCTGTATGTTTTTATTCTCACCAGGCAAGAGAAAAGATGGTGGATCTTCTGATAGTTATTTTAATCTGACAGTCAACAACATAGAAGTCAAGAAATTAACAGTATTTATATCCTGATCCTCAAAGAAATGATGGTTATGAGTGGTGACAGTCACATCAAGTTAGGAGCACAGAGAGCACACTTCGCAGGTACACAAAGGAATCTAGACCCATGCCTAAGATGATAAAGTGATTGTTAGAGCCAGGATCAAATATTTTATCTCAGCTCAATGGTGGTTTGTATTAGCTCTGCACCATGTTACTTGGGCCAGATCCACACACAGTCTGAGGTCAAGGAACAGTGCTCTTTGTGGCTGAAGGGAGAAGAGTCTTCACTACCATTTTCCAACTCTGGCAGAAGGGAATCTAAATAATAGTGTCCTGAGTGACTGTCCTCTGAGCCATGCAACTGCCATCTTGGGGACTTCAGCTGTGCCCCCTTGCAAAAGCTCATCCCAGCTGGATTTATTGATGATTATATCCTCTCCCACCCCATATCCAGCTGCTCCCTACCAACTGGCTACTCTGCAGACTACCTAGAGGAAAGATTTAGATGGAGAAAAAGAGGGAGGGAGGGAATACTAGGGAAGGGGCCATGTCCTCAATCTAATCTGTTTTGGAAAAACACAATTCCTTTTGAGTAAATCTTTCCAGATGCGACCCATTGGGGATGAAGTACCCACACCCTTGTAAGTAACCCTCACCACCCATGCTCTCTCTGTAAGGAAGGCAAATAAACTCAATGGTTTATTTGTGAACTTTGTTCCAATCAAGCTTCTGTTTGCCACTAGGACCCTTGGAGAAGGGGTAGACACTGCTTATGTCTCTCCTGGGTAGGAATTTATAGCAGTACAGGTCACCATTAGATGAAGCCACAGCCAAGATGAGGCAGTGGCAGCACAAAGCTACTGTTCCTATTGTAGGCTGGATCTCCAGGAAGTCAGGTGATCCAGTTTATCTGTTATTTTCTCTAAATCAAGCCTTTCTCACCTTCCTCCATGTTACTTTGTGATACTCCATTAGAGCGAGTAGATACCACAAGACACTCCTATGCTAAGAAACTTCTATGCTCAGGTTGAATTGGAGTAGTAAGAGGTACTGATTTGAAAAGTTAACATGAGATATGTTAAAATATTATTGTTAACCTTAATGTCTTCCAAGAATTTTATCTACCTTGAGTCTCTGGAGTGAGAAATAAGGGAGTGCAGGTAAGGATTCCAGTAACTCCAAGTGGTGTATCAGCGTATCCAACGAACAAATTAATGAGTTTTAATCAGTTTCTGGGCCTTGAGTGGGTACCCAAGCATGTGTATTCATCATTACTGCTACTGTGGTGGCACAGTGTCATCCCTTACCATGCCACCTTTCTCACTGACCTGGTGATTCTGTATTTTTGAGTAATTATGTGGATGTGAGTGATCCTGGAGTCAGGGCTTTGGGTCAAGGAGTCTGGCTGAGGCTTAGGAAGAAGCCTCAATCTCAGCTATAGAAAAGCTCCACTCAGAAATGTCAGACTTGAGATTATGCTCTGGGGTATATTGTCTGCTTTAGCAGAGTGATGTTGTCTTGACAAGATTCAAACTACCCAACTGTTAAAGTGCCAGAGTACACAGAAGTATGGTATTTTCACTGACGTGGAGTTAGTTTCTAGTGTGGATAGATAAGTGTCCCTCTTAAATCTAGGAAAAAAATAGTTGTTAGTACTCATTTTCTATGTGAGATCACATTTTCCCAGCCTATGTTCAGAGGTTTGGATTTATGATCAGTTCCCATGGTTTCTACTAGAGCCAAGCTTGGCATATATCCACGCCATTTCCACACACAGCTGAGTATACAAGGTGCTGGGAATAGTTCAAATGGTGAGGGTATGGTAGCAGTGATGTGGGGAGATTTGGATAGACCTTGGATGTGTGTCTCACTCCCATCTAACATTGGTTTCATAGCTACCATTGGTGCTGGTTACAGGACCACCATCACTTCACCACCACAGTTTAAGTTCTTAGACTCCAAATTTATTGACTAAATATAATTCTTATACTTAACTATCAGTATGTTGGGAGACTCACAGTGCATAGATTTTAATAAATGAGCATGTATATATGTGTGATATACTCATTGAAGAAGTGATGGGAAGCAGGCTTTTGACTGTATCCTCCAAAATCAGACTGCACAAACTACTCCAGTTGCCAAATACTTTAATTGCAGGGATATGAGTTTGCAATTGTGAAGGTACTCTTGGAAAGAAGTACTTTGTAGATAAGTGGGATGGATTCCTACAGTGTACTTGAACAATTGGTAAATAAAAGGAAAATGCTCTAGTAAATATCGTCTGCCAGTGTATAACTGGAATCATCATTGTGAATCTATAGTCATTCTACATTTTAATCATGTTGTGCCTGTTTTTCTCTGAGGGTTTAAACGCTGTCAGCTAATATTGCTATATTCTCTTGTGTTACAATCATGCACATGGACACTAATTTCTGTATTGTGTCATTTGTAAGATTGTTAAATATATTTATAAGCTAATTTTCCTAAATGGATACTTTATATTTATTTTTTCATTCATTAGTATTCACTTATTCTAACTCTTAACAAGTGGGGTTTTTAAATATTTTTTTTAAATATTTTCATCATGTCAAAATCTGGTTCACCTTTTAACATGTGCTTTTCTTCAGAGTGAAAACATATGAAATGAAAGCAGGACGTATTTGTGTAACAACAATGGCATCAGAACCATATGGATACATATGAAAACATTTGATATTTCACAGGTTCAGTTGTAAAATGTTGAAGAGGTAAAGAATAAGCCACTAAACATAAAAATACAACATTAGCTATGTTGTGATGACACTGAAATGTCTTAAGGACTTCTGTACAATTAAGAAACATGTGGACAAAGCTGTAAGTTGAACTTTTCTTATGAATGTGCTTTGATCTTAATGCAACTCAGTGAGTTCCTTTCTGGTCTTAACAAGATAATGTAACACTTGGGGGCAAAGATGCAGCCCAGAAGGCCTGCACTTGAAGCCAAGATAGAGAAAATTTCCATGGCCACATGACCTTGCCCTTGGTGCTGTGGTAAACAGGATGAAAGGTGACCCACACACTGAAAAATATCAACATGCTGAATGTCAAGAACTTGGCTTCATTGAAATGTGTCAGGTAGGTTCATGGAGAGGAAGGCCGTAGTGTAGCTCCCAAGTGCCAAGCAGCAAAGGTATCCAAGGACACAGTGGAAGGCAAGCTCTGAGCCCTTGTTGCACACAATGATGATGTGACCATGTTCATAGTGAGAATCTGAGTCAATAACGGGAGGAGAGATGCTCAGCCAAATTGCACAGAGCACAAGTTGGATAAGAGTGCAGATGGGAATTATGTAGTTAGGGGCCCTTGATATCATTATCCACCTCACCATTCTCCCTGGAACAGTGGCCTTGAAAGCCAGAACTACAGTAAGAATTTTGGTCAAGACTGTGGAGACAGCCACTGTGAACAAAACTGCAAATGTGCTCTGCAGGATAAAGGTGACTGTTGGGATGGCCACTGAAGAGCAAGGGACAGAGAAAGCAGAATGCCAGAGTGATCAGCAGGATGTAACTGAGAGCCTGATTGTTGGCCTTGACAGTGGGAGTGTGGTGGTACTTCACAAAGACACCAAGAACACCAGGTGTGAGTACAGAGCACCCCAGGGACATGCAGGAGAGTGACATCCCCAAAGGATCTTCATAGGCCAAAGGATCTTCATAGCTTTCTGGAGGCAGTGATTCTGCTGTGTGTTTGCATAATGACTCTCTGGTCACTTCACTCAATTATCCATATCTGGTCAGGAGTAAAAGTCATCTTGATTCTGTGCTCAGGCTTCCCATTTATCCAAGCCCCTTCCCAGCCCCAGCTGTGTGGCATGTTACCTATAACCTTCCCTTCAGACTCAAGTAAATTAGTCCTCAATAGTGAAAATTCATAAATGATCTCAAATCAATAATCACAAATTCATACAGCCCATTGTGTATGTAGGACTTCATGAGAACTATTCTACTTCTTCATCTTTCTTAATTATGTTTGTATTTAAGCGACAACCTTTACCTGTTTATAGTAATAAATTACTGACTTAGATTGCATAAAGCTAACTCTTTCAGAAGACTCCCTACTGGTGAAACATCTTAAATGTGATTTGGACATGTTAGTTCAGTACCATGGAAATGTGCTTTCAAGTTTCTTGTAGTTTCTAGCCACTGGCTAGAAATTAACCTATTTTCATGATGTTTATTAGAGTCTGTAGTTTGTTCATTTTCTGAAGGTGCATGCAGAAATAATAGATGCATGCAGAAATAATAGATTTTTTTTTTGCTTTTTTTAGAAAAGATTTCTCCATATCTTTGGAGCCTGTCCTGAAACTCATTCTGTAGACCAGGCTGGGGTCAAACTCACAGAGATCCGCCTGCCTCTGCCTCCTGAGTACTGGGATTAAAGGTGTGAGCCACCACTGCCTAGCATGAGAATTAAATGATTCTTGGTAGCTTGAAATCTTCCATCTCTGAAATGGTTTAGTGTTTATATAATTTGAATGGAGAAAAAAATTATTTAGCGGGCAGGTATAATAATCTTTTATTTGTTTTGCTTTTTCACAAATGATTTTTCTGTGTAGTGCTAGATGTGGCTGTTCAAACTCATTCATAAATCTGTGGGCTTCTGCCACTAGAATGCCAGGATTAAGGCATGTGACACCACTGTCCACAATATAGAACATTTTTTTGTCTTAGTTTATGAAGTAGTCAATTTTTTTTGTTTTGTTTTGTTTTGTTTTTTGAGACAGGGTTTCTCTTTGGCTTTGGAGGCTGTCCTGGAACTAGCTCTTGTAGACCAGGCTGGTCTCGAACTCACAGAGATCCACCTGCCTCTGCCTCCCGAGTGCTGGGATTAAAGGCGTGGGCCACCAACGCCCGGCGAAGTAGTCAATTTTTTTATAAATTCTCAGTGACAATTTATGAGTTTCATGAAAACTTAAAAGGATAAACATGTATTTATTCCATATTTTCAGTCTATTAAAATTTCAATATTTTACACACTCACTTTTTCAGTTTTCTATTGGTTGAAATCATATTATCAAGTTGTTGGATTTATGATTTTGCTAGTGCCAAGGTTATCTTTTTTATGTAAGTATTTATTACAGTCACCAAGCTCTGAGTACACACATATATTCATATGCATGGTCTTCTTAAGTGAGAACAAGGCCCTCTTGCTGAGTGAAATTATACTCTGATAGAGTAGTTCTGTTAAGACTTTTGCAGGAAGTAAGTAAAAGACAGATTACAATAGTTCATCTTGGTGGGATTTGGAATTTTCAAGGAGACAAACATCTCGGTGACTGTGAGGACATTTCATGTGGGGGTCTTACTCTGCTGGAAGGAGGTAATCCCACTCTAAATTTAGTCCTCATTTCCATGTCCTAGAGTCCCAGACTAAATAAAAAGAAACAAACCAAGTAGAGCTCAAGGTATCAATCCCTCTCCCTGATTCCAGTAAGCCCAGCAGCCTATGCTCCTGCTGACATGACATTAGTAGTCTAAATTGAGAGCCAATTTGTCATGTAGTTGGTCAGTACATCAAGAAAAGTGTAGAACTGATTAACATGTATGCATATAATTCATAAAGCAGAAGGGTCGTGTACCTTTTACACAGGTACAAATGCTGCTGTTTATAAAGCAGACATGTTTAGTACAATTTCAAGACAAATAATTTTTGTATTTGACATACAGATTCATAGGTGAGTTTTGTTGTTTGCTTACCATTTTCTGTAAAAGTAATTGATACTTCTGTGCAACCAGACTGAGCTCATTGAGAAGACATTGTCATATTTATGCATCCAAAGATCCATGAGGTACCTGAACACAAAGCAGTAAGTTTGTTTCTTGGGTTCATTTGATTGGAAAATCTTTTCCCAACCCTTTACTCTGAGGTAAATCCATCTTTGAAGTTGAGGTGTGTTTCTTGAATGCAGAAGAAGGATGGATTCTGTCTTCTTGTCCATTCTGCTAGCCTTTGTCTTTTTTATAGGCATGTTAAGACCATTAATATTGAGGGATATTAATGACCATTGATTGTTCATTCTTGTTTGTTTTGCATTTGGTGGTGGTGGTGGAATTGTGTGTGGATTTCCACCCAAATTTTCTTTTGGCTGTTGGTAAAGTGGGATTATCTGATTGTAGTTAACTTCCCTGGATTGGAGTTTTCGTTCCAGAACTTTCTGTAGGGCTGGATTGGTGGCTATGTATTGTTTGAATCTGGTTTTGTCATGGAATATCTTGTTTTCTCCATCTATATTGACTGAAAGCTTTACTGGGTACAGTAGTCTGGGCTGGCATCTGTGGTCTCTTAATGCAGGTAGAATATCATTCTAGGACCTTCTGGCTTTTAGAGTTTCCATGGAAAAGTAAGGTATAATTCTGATAGGTTTGCCTTTATATACCTCACCTTGTTCCTTTGCTGCTCTTGATATTCTTTCATTTTTCTGTACGTTTGGGGTTTTGATTATTATGTGGCAAGGAGACTTTGTGTGTGTGTGTGGGGTCCACTCTATTTTTGGTGTTCTGTAGGCTTCTTGTACTTCCATTGGCATGTCTTTCTTTAGGTTGGGAAACTTTTCTTCTATGATTTTGTTGAATATATTTTCTGCACCTTTGAGTTGGGTCTCTTCACCTTCTTCTATACCTATTATTCTTAGGTTTGGTCTTTTCATGGTGTCCCACATTTCCTGGATATTTTGTGTTAGGGATTTGTTGGACTTAAGATATTCTTTGGTCGGTGAGTCTGTTTTTCCTAGTGTATCTTCAACTTCTGAGATTCTCTCTTCCATCTCTTGTATTCTGTTGGTTATGCTTACATCTGTAGTTCCTGATCATTTACCCAGCTTTTCTATTTCCACCATTCCCTCAGATTGTGCTTTCTTTATTGTCTCTATTTCAGTTTTTAGGTCTTGGACCATTTCCTTGAGAGATTTATTGATTGCTTCTATTTTTTGGTTTGTTTTTCCTCTATTTCTTAAAGGATTTTCTTATATCCTCTTTGAGGCCCCCTCTATCATTTTCAAGAAGATGTTTTTAAGGTTGTTCTCTTGTGCTTCATATGTGTTGTGATGTTCAGGTCTTGCTGGTGTAGAGTCCCTAGACTCTGGTGGCATCATACTGGTTTTTCTGTTGTTGAGTATATTTTTATATTGTCTTTTTCCCATCCCTTCTTCCAGTGGATGTAGAAGGAGTCTTTTCCTCTCCTGGTGGGTACAGGACCAAGGTTCGCTTCCAGTGGGTACAGACAGGTCCAATACTCTGATGTCTCCCCTCTTCCCATGGATGGAGGCAGGACTAGTACCAGGGCCTTGGCAGTCACTGGGTGGGCTGAATCCCACCAGGATGGAATCTGCTGTGAGCAGTCCCCAGGCCTCAGGTGTCTCCGAGCTGGGCAGAGAAAGGCGGGCCGGAAACAGATAAATTCATATTTTCATGAAGAAATTTTTTAAAGTCTGAGTGTTTGGGGAAATGA